GAATGGGGGCTGATTTTGAAGCTTATGTTGAAAATTTTGAGGAATTGAAGTCTTGTATGCTAATGATGCACAAGGGGGCCTTTAATGAATCATACTTCATCTCAAGTTTCATTCGTGGACTTAATGATGAACTAAAGGCCTTTGTGAAGATGTTCAACCCAACCACCTTGGATTTCCACTATTGAACTAGTAAGGAATCGGTTAAAGCCAATAGAAGCTCAAAACACATTTTATTCAGCCAAATCCTCTTAAGAAGGGAGAAATTAAGGAGGAAGGCAGTAACAACACCAAACCTCAACTGACTGGCCCAAACCCCCCATTCAAACTGCTCACTCAAAGGGAAATGGCTTCTAAAAGAGAAAAAAGATTATGTTACATTTGTGATGAAATTTTCTCCCCAAGGTATAGGTGCAAACATAGACAAGCCTATGTCATAATGATGGGAGATGATGCATGTGAGGTGACCAGTGAAGGGGAGGATCTAGAACCCTAGGATGTTGAGGGAATTATGCTAGTGAATATAAGGAATGCTTAGAAGAGACAATGTCCTACCATCATGGTGTTTGATGGGAAGGTAGGCAAGCATAAGATCCACATCTTGATTGATTCAGGAGCCTCAGTCAGTTTCATTAGCTCAAAGACTGTCCAGAACCTGGGATGCAAGGAAGTATCTGTGAAGCCGGTGCATGTTATAGTAGCTGATAGAGTCAAACTCAGGAGCAATGCTAAGGTAACTAATTTCACTTGGGGAATGCAACAACATCAGCTCATTTATGATTTCAGAGTACTTCCTAGCACTGAATTTGACTTAATTTTGGGTGGAGACTGGTTGAGGGAATTAACCCCCATTGAATTGGACTATAATGATATAGTAGTTACTGTAACCTGTGAAATCAGAGAATTCCTATTCAGTGTGAAAAGAAATGTAAACTGATTTCTATTCATAGCCTCTTCAAGTTTATTTGTGAGGAGGGCCTTAGTTCTGTGGAGGAAGTTTTTTGGATTAAGTTGAAGGACACTGGTCACAGAGGGACTACAGAATTGGAAGGTGTTTTGCAAGAGTTTGAGGATATTTTTGAAGAACCTAAATCAGTTCCCCCTCAAGATGAGTTGAGCACCAGATTATGTTGAAACCAAGATGTCTCCCTAGACAACAATACCTTACAGGGCATCTCATGCTCAAAAGGATGAAATTGAGAAGATAGTAGAGGAGCTACTCAAATCTAGAGAAATACAACCAAGTAAGAGCCCCTTCTCCTCACTTGTTCAGCTGGTAAAGAAGAAAGATGGAACTTGGAGAATGTGTGTAGACTATAGATATCTAAATAGTCTCACCATCAAGCATAACTACCCAATACCCCTTATTGATGATATGTTAGATGAGTTAAAGGGTGCTAAATACTTTTCAAAGATTGATTTGCTTTCAGGTTATTTCCAGATTTTAATGACCCTAGCACACATATATTTAACAGCATTCAGGACCCATAATGAACATTATGAATTCTTGGTAATGCCTTTTGGGCTGTGTAATGCTCATGCAACCTTTCAGTCTCTCATGAATCAAATATTTAAGGAGTTTCTCAGGAAGTTTGTACTAATATTCTTTGATGACATTCTGATCTATAATACCTCATGGGAGGAGCATATTCTGCACTTAAAGGCAGTTATGTTTCTGTTAAGAGAACACCAGCCCTATTCTAAGATAAGTAAATGTCACTTTGGGCAGGAATCTATTTACCATTTGGGGCACATCATCAATAGGGAAGGGGTAGCTACTGACCCCGAAAAGATTGAATACATGACTGATTGGCCAACACCTAAAAACCTAAAGGAACTAAGAGGATTCCTTGGTCTTACTGGCTACTATAGGAAATTTGTGAGAAGATATGGCATTACCAGTAGACCACTTACTACACTGTTAAAGAAGGGGCCTTTCAAGTGGGGGAAGGAGGCTGATCAATCCTTTCAGGAACTCAAGATATCCTTGACTACCACTCCCATATTACACCTACCAGATTTTTCCCAGCCCTTCACTTTAAAAACGGATGCTTGTGGGGAGGGAATTGGAGTTGTATTGATGCAATCTGGAAGACCCCTAGCCTTTCTGAGTAAGAAACTATCACCCAAACATTTGGGGTTATCCATATATGAGAAAGAATTCATGGCTGTACTCATGGCTCTATAGAAATGGAAACATTATATTCAAGGAGGAAGGTTCATAATCAAGACTGATCAAAAAATCTCTCAAACACCTGCTGGATCAAAGGATCTCCACTCCATTACAACAGAAATGGATCTCTAAACTTCTAGGATTGGATTATGAATTTCATTGTAAAACGGGAGCTGAGAATAAGGTGGCAGATGCACTTTCCAGGAGGGTAAAAGATACAGAGAGTTGTGGGGCAATTACTGGGGTACAACCAGTTTGGGTTCAACAGATTAAGGAAAGCTATGAGGAAGGCAAGGAGCTTTCCAAGATCATTCAAGAAAAGAGAAGTAGTCCAAGTGCTCACCCAGAGTATGAGTTGATTGGTGACATTTTGAGGTATAAAGGAAGGGTAGCACTGGGAAATTCCACTCAGCTAAGGCACACCATTTTCAGAGAATTGCACTCCTCAGCTATTGGGGGACATTCAGGGGTGTAGGCTACTCTTAGTAGAATAAAGAAAGTCTTCTTTTGGCCCAAAATGGCAGTAGATATTGGTCAGTGGGTTAAAGAGTGTGAAGTATGTGCCATCACAAAACCAAAAAAGGACCATACCCAAGACTCCTACAGCCTCTACCCATGCCAGACCAAGCATGGAGTAACATTAACATGGATTTTATAGAGGGGCTTCCCAAGTCACAAGGAAAAGATGTGATTCTGGTAGTAGTTGATAGACTGACAAAATTTGGGCATTTCTTACCCTTATCACATCCATATACTGCTCAGACTATGGCAAAGGTATTCCTAGACATTGTATTCAAGTTACATGGACAACCCTTAAGCATAATTACTGACAGGGGAACAGTGTTTATGGGTGGATTTTGGAAAAGTTTGTTTAAACTTATGGGTGCTACACTGAGCTACACTTCTGGCTATCATCCACAGACATACGGGCAAACATAAAGGTTAAATCAATGTCTGGAATCCTATCTTAGGGCATTAACTCATCAAAATCCCAAACAATGGTTGAGCTAGCTACCTATGACAGAATACTGGTACAATACTAACTATCATACAAGCAGCAAGATGACTCCTTTTGAGGCTCTGTACGGCTACACCCCACCCACACTCTCTTTACCAAACCCACCAGCCGACAACAATGTAGAATTCAAGGAATTTATCATACAAAGACAATAAAAGAGACAGAACCTCAAAGAAAAGATGAGGCTAGCACAAGAAAGAATGAAATTCTTCACTGATTCACACAGGGTAGATAGAGAGTTTGCAGTGGGAGATCAAGTCCACTTAAAATTACAACCCTACAGGCAGGGTTTAGTACAACTACGCCGAAATCAAAAGCTAGTAGCTCGCTACTATGGTCCGTACACCATTCTGGAAAGAACAGGGAAGGTGGCTTATCGCTTGAATTTACCAGAAGAAGCCATGATTCACCCGGTGTTCCACGTCTCCTTGCTTAAGCGCTGTGTCAGTCCACGAGTAGTAATATCATCTCATCTTCAAGTAATCGTCAAGGATGATCTTTCCTGTGGGTACCTGCAAGAAGAGAAATCAATCCACAACCAGGTGAAGATGACGGCCAACAAACAAATTAAAACAGTTCCAATCCCTTAGGACAAGGATACGTCAAAAGGGGGAGGTATTGTCATGTATTGTCCAGAAGCATCAAGGCCAAATGATTGATGGGCCAGTGCATCAAAGGATCGGTTCGCAGATTGGTCCAGAGTATAACTATTATATTATGATCATTATAATAATTATTATGAAATGAGCTGTAATGGATTTGTGAGTTTGTTTTTTAAGGGCCCCACCACTCTATTTTACATTACACAATTATACAAACAAGTGTAAGGAATGGACATGTCATGAATGGAATTCCTAAATTCTCTCCCTTCTGTTATTTCCTTCTCCCCTTCCTGATTATTCTCCCTCTCCCTCCCTATTTTCCATCTGCGTGCTTTTTCAATCTGATCGAAACACCACATATTGGATCCGGAGCCGAACCGTTCTAAAAACCTGACTGCATAGCCATAAAATGACATAGGGTCAATTGATTGGACAAACGAGGCCATAAACTAGTATTGATAAATTACGGGATAAGCGATTGCTTTTGGTGTAGCGGTAAGAGCAATGGTCCATAACTGGTATAGGAGCCAATGGTCACAAGTTTGACCCCGACAACAACATGTTGCTGAGTTGTAGGCTTGCAGGTGCTAGGGCATTGTTAGGTCGCGGGTATGCGATGCCAGCAGTTTTGCCAGCCTGTCGTACAACCGATTATGCCGCTCTGCCTTTTCTATAAAGGGGGGAGTGTGCTACACTATCAGCGTTTGCCTTTAGTGTATCAGTAAGCGCAACGATCCACAAGTCCCATAATAAATCCTGGGGATGAGAGGCCGAGAGAAGAAGCGAAAGAGCCGACTTCCTTTTGCAGATCATCAATGTCGCCTGAAGGTTTAGATGCCTTCTTCATTTTTTTATCTTTGGCCATTTCAATATGGTGAAGAGGTTAAAATATTTAGTGAATGGAAGAAGAAGAACAGAGTAAAGAAAAAGATTTTACAGGTGAAGGGTTTATGGGCAATTACGGACCAGTGGTATACGAGTCTTTAATGGGCCGATTAATTTGCGAATAAATGGGCCTGTGATTGGTCGAGACTAAAGCAGTTTATAACATGGCCCGTTATTAAGCCCAAATTCTACATACAGATATACGTAGAATTCTACATGGGCCTGAGATTGGTCGAGGCTAAAGCTTATCAAGCCCGTTATAACATCGTCCCATTCTTATATACACCGTGCCAGGGCAAGACTGCCGAGTCCAACCGCACGGGGGCCGGAATTTTGAGAGGCCCGAAAAAGAATAGTACTCCGTATTAGAATAGAACCCAGCTCAAATTCATGCGCCAAACTTCCGGACTCCAATCAATCAACCTGCGCCCAAAATCTCGACTGCATTCCCTGTATTAGGTAACAGCAGCGGCCCAAGTCCAAAATAGAGAAACCCAAAATAGGTCACTCAGGCCTCGGCGTCGAAAACAAAGCGCAAGAGTTTAAGACCGCAGCCCTCAGCCCTGCGTCGAGGAAATCTGCGCAGCACTGCAGCAGACCAGCGGTCGTCGACTCCATCTCCACAGCCACACTTCAGGTAAGTGAATCTATTTCCCTATTTTAATTAATTTTCATTAATTTCATGTATGTTTAGATTATTAGTAGAATAGTAGATTACTTATTATTTATGCCTTTGGGCTTAGGCCTCTTAATCTATTATTCTGTGTGAAATTTAACAAATTAGGTCTTGACTATTGAGGTTGCTGTTTTTTATTTTGTGTAATTGTTTGATATGCCTTTGGGCTTAGGCCTCCTAATCTATTATTCTGTGTGAAATTTAACAAATTAGGTCTTGACTATTGAGGTTTTTTTTTGTGTAATTGTTTGATGAATTAATTAAATTATTTATGTTTAATAATTTGGAGCAAATGTATGAAGATTCGAAAATGCTATTTCTTAGGGAAAATGGAAACTCATAATCCAACCTTTTCACCGCACCTTACAATAGTCTCACCTTTTTATTATTCATGAATAATCCAACCTTTTTACCACATCTTCATTCACTTTTCCCCGACCGATTTATGACCTGTTATTTCAAATTATTTTCTTATCTTTGTAAAACATTATACCATAATTCCCACCTTATGATCACATAATGTTTTGCAAAGATAAGAAAATAACTTGGAATAACAGCTCATAAATCGGTCAGGGACCAGTGAATGAAGATGGGGTGCAAAGGTTGAATTATTCATGAATAATCAAAAGGTGGGACTATTGTAAGAAGACCGCTAAAAGGTTGGATTATTAGTTTCCATTTTCCCTATTTCTTATTGCTTTTTAGGTAGAGGGTTATTTTATTAACGAAAACATTTGATTTTGCTATTACGTTCAATATTAGTTCGAACTTTAACGGAAATTCACGGTAATTTATTACTATTACCAATTATTATTTATTATTTATGTACTATTTCTTTTATTGTTTGAAATAAAAAGGCCCTTTTTTTGTCGCACAGGGTCTCTATATTTCCAGGACCGGCCCTGGCAAAGATGGCGACAGCTACGCAGCAACTGCCAAGAGTGTTGTCAACGAAAGAAGCCGACATTCAGATGATGTTGGCTGCTGATGTTCATCTCGGCACAAAAAATTGTGACTTTCAGATGGAGCGTTATGTCTTCAAACGCCGAAATGATGGTTAGTCGATTTCTCTTGCCCATTCGCTCACTCTTCAATGTTCACGCTGCCATTCATACATGCTTCAGAATTCGCAAACACTCGATGGTTTTCCGTGTGAATCGGATTTAATGTTTCCTACATTTTTGTTGGATTCCATATAAGTAGTTTATAAAGTATAAAATCACGTCGCGATTTGCATAATAAAATTCGGATTTTAGTAGGAAAATCGCCACAGACAATATCAATTACTAAAGATTTGTACTTGTTCCATCATTATTCTCTTCATCCCGTAAAAGAAAAGTTGGTGGTTACAGTATTGTGGAAAGCTCAAGTATGTGATAACTTGAGAAATATGTTTGAAGTCTGGAATACTAATTAGAAAGAGATATTAACATTTGGACAATGTAGTTTTCTAATGATATAAGTGCTATCATGTTAACAATTTAAGTGACAAGCTACCTATTGATATCTTTTTCTTGCGTGTTAACAGGAATTTTCATCATTAACATCATGAAGACATGGGAAAAGCTTCAGCTTGCAGCACGTGTCATTGTTGCTATTGAGAACCCTAAGGACATCATTGTACAATCTGCTAGAACATATGGTCAGAGGGCTGTCTTGAAGTTTGCTCAGTACACTGGAGCCCAAGCTATTGCTGGACGTCACACTCCTGGAACTTTCACCAACCAGATGCAAACCTCATTCAGTGAACCCCGCCTTCTCATCCTCACTGATCCGAGAACTGATCACCAGGTTACCCCTCTCAAGCCCCTGTTTTAGAGTCATTGGTGGATTGAGTGTTAAATAATGTAGTAGTAGCAGCTAATTCATATTTTAGAATTAGATTTTATCTTTTATTTGAAACTTTTGCAGCCCATCAAGGAAGCAGCCCTTGGGAACATTCCCACTATTGCTTTTTGTGACACTGATTCACCCATGCGCTATGTTGATATTGGAATCCCTGCGAACAATAAGGGAAAACACAGCATTGGTGTTCTGTTCTGGCTCTTGGCAAGGATGGTGCAGCAGATGCGTGGTGCTATTGCTCCAGGCCACAAGTGGGATATCATGGTACTTACTCCTATTACTGTATTGTTTGTGGTTTATTGCATCTCCGTTTGAGAGTTTCTGTGGATTGGCATTGTTTTTATTGTTTTACTACCTAAGCTCTTTATCTTTATTTCTGTTCTTTTGACTTCATATTTTTACACATTCCTAGCTGACTCAATATCTGCTTCATCTGTTTCCTAGGAATGCTATTTTTTTACTATAATAAGGTAAAAATGAATTGTCGATACTATATTGGCCACCCTCATGCAGTTAGGAATGCAACCTCTGTGTTATATTTGTCCAATCCTAAGATCAAATAAGTGTCTGATTTTGCCCAATATAGTATCTATAACTCGCATTCCACCATTGCCTCTCCAATTTTAAATGCCACGTTTCTATGTGTCCAAGTTACGGCGTTACGCTATGGTTTCCTATAGTAATATCAAACATTACGTGGAGTATGTGTTTTGACATTGTATAATGTGGTGCTTTGTCAGGTGGATCTCTTCTTCTACAGGGAGCCAGAGGAGTCTAAGGAACAAGAGGAGGAAGAAGTTGCTGCTATCCAAGATTATCCAGAATATAGTAATACTGCAATTGGTGTTGACTGGAGTTCTAGCCAGATCACAGAGGGCCAATGGAATCCAGACGCAGTTGCTGCTCCTGCTGGTGATGGTTGGGCTGCGGATGCTGGTAATTCATACTACATACTCAATATATCAATTTATTCTTTTCAAACTTGCTTAGGAATAAATCTATTATAAAAATACAAAATTGCTATTGTTTTTTGACATTATAAGAGAATGTATATGTTATGATGTTATCTTAATCAAATATTAGAATAGCAGTGTTTTTGTAGTTTTTTCCTTTCACCCTTTTGACCTTTCCTTTGTAGACATTACACTATTGTTCTGAAATTTGTTTGCATGCTTTTTAAAGCATGTCATCCATGTGCCTATTTTGTTTCACATTCCAGTTTTTATTCCTTTTTTACTATTGCCAGCTCCTGCTCAAATCGATGGAGGATGGGATGCTGCCGCCCCACCGCCGGAGCCGGTACAAACTGTGGTTCCAGATATTGCACCATCTGGGTGGGACTAAAAATCTACCTCTGTTTCTTCATAAAGAATGCTAGATTATCTCCCGCTCGTTTCATGAATTTATATGATCTATTATTTACGATGTCGTAGTAGTTTTTATTCATGCAAAGAATTTTGTGTTTGCTTTTCAGATTATCTCTTAAATCCCGATTTTTGTTTGGTCTTGTTTTCTCTGCGTATTAGTGGTGGGCATAGGGATGGACCGGTTCCGGTTCAGGCCTGGTTCAGGCCTGGACCCGGCCGGGCCTCGGTTCATGAAGGGGAGGCCCGGAACCGGCCCGGGTAACCCCTGGGTCCGGGCCGGACCTCGGTTCTAATTTTTTTTTGGCTTTTCCTAGTTAACCCCCAACCCTCCCCCTCACCCCCAAATCAACCCTAACCACCTCAAATGGCCCAAAATACCCAGCCCAACCCGAAAATTTTAAAAAAATTCAAAAAAAAAAAATTGGCCTGGCCTGGGCCCGAACTGGCCGGGCCGGTTCACCTTTTGAAGGGCCTGAGCCCGAACCGCCATCCCACCGGGCCTGGTGGCCAGAACTGACCAACCAACCGGTTCACCGGGCTGGTCTGGGCTCGCACAGTAGCGGGCCGGTCTGGGCCCGCACAGTAGCAGGCTGGTCCGGTTCCGGGCTGGTTGGCCCGACCCGAGTCCACTCCTAGGTGGGCATAGTTAGGGATTAGATTTGTTCAGTACAAGCTAATCCTTGGTAACCGTGCGTGGAAATATTTTATTTCCTTGGGTTCAAATAAAAAAACCGCCTTGTGAAGTTGTGATGATATTTTCTTTAACCTACATATTACATATCTATTAATTAATTTAATGCTTCTCATTGTAATCCATGAATTTCTAGAGGGTATATTTATAGTATTTTCTCCGGAAAATTTCACTTGCAAAGATGGGTGTCGTTTTTGGGATTGAATATAAGAAATTTTAATACTGAGTAATTGTTATTCTAAGAGTTTTTATTTGAACCGACTCACAACCGATGAACCGATGAGATCTTATTTTGACAGCTCTAAAATACTATGATGTTGGTTATCTATATCAATACTCAAGAATAAATATCTATGTATTATAAAATTCCCTTTATAAGGTCATAATATTTCAGACTTTCAGTAAATTTGCTTTCCATATTCTATATGTGAACATCAGAAGTTCACAACATGGACAGTGAAATATGGACTTGTTTAATATTAAAATTGGTGAAATTGGAAGATTTTGTTGAAATTGATGAAATTTTGAATTCTTTGATTAATTTAATTGAACTAACTGAATTTTTAGACATTAAGGTTATTCGTGATTCGTGAAGTTAAATTGGCCACTAATCTTTTAAGTGGATCAAATACATATAAATAACTTAGTTGAGCTACATTTAGTCATCCGCTAAAATTTCCTTAACTGAACCGCCCATTCTAAGTTTCTAACATTAACCATCTATTATCCCTTTCATTTAAAGCTACATATGAAATCATTACAAATCCATGAATTGCTCCAAAAGCTGATTGAATTTAATTAACTCCATTTAGTCCATTGTTGTTCTTAGTAGGTCACAAACCAGTTTTAACGTTTCTGAAATATGAACCAAAATTGGCTTCAATTCCAGCCATATCCAATGTCAGAGTAGGGGGTGATTCTCGAGCAAGGCTCAATGGCACCCTGCGCATAGGTCAAAAACATCCTTTCTCCGTCAGTGGATTTGGTGAGTACTCTGCCCAATCTCCTGTTTGGATTGCCAATGAAGAGAGCTACGATTACAGATTGCTTGTTGAATAGCTTCACAATGAATATTCAGTACATCCCTCAATGTTCTGGCAGATGTGATTCCCTTCACAGTTTCTTGTTTTAAAAATTGATCCACGAGGTACCCTATCTGGGAGACATCAAACACAACCGCCTGAAGGGTAGGATCCAGTTCCACATTGATTCCACCAGAATGATATTCAAAATCACTCTCATCAGCCCCTCTCAATCCAGGATCTGAGGAGCCCCAGACTAGAAGCTTGCCAATCCTGTTTTCTGAAAGAACGCTTTCCTTTCCCGGTTTAACCAATTCCTTTTCGGACAACCTTATCGGTCTTGTTGTACTGCAGTTGACTCGACTTGTTGTAGGGGTAGAACTGACCTCTCTGCACTTAACAACTTGCTCAACATGATACCTTGAGTTTATTCCAGAGCTAGGATCTACTCCAAACTCAGACCGTGGACCCAAACCTTGCCCCCCATTGTAGATTCGAACAAAGCAACCCTGCCTTTCAATCTTCATCCCTCTCTGTGCCATTCCCCTAACAATTTCAACAGCCTTTCTGGCATCAATAGTGGTTTCCGAGCCAGCATAAACTGCTGCTGATTCCTTTTCTTTATCAGTTTGCCATTCTGATAGTAACCTACTGTCAACCAACACCTTACAATCTTCAAAGTAGCGACCTAACGGTTGATTTGGAATTTCCAGAACCTCAACCACTTTATTCCGAGAACCCATACATATCTCGTAATCTGCATCCTTCTTCATAATGTTTCCCTCTGCTATTTTCTCAATTCCCTCTATACAAGCAGTCCCGGCACCAAAATCCAGAGAACTGGTTCTCACAATGTTCCCTAAAGGTTCCTCTTTCTGAGTTATGGCCATATCCTTTATTGACCGGTGCATTGTAGTGACATCATGTATAATGTGTGATGATATTCCTTTCTCTATGACTCTGTGGAAGACTGCATCTCTCTCTTCGCTATTAATTCTATTAATAGCAGCCGTCTTTGAGGTAGCTTGATGTTCGTCTACTTTTACTGTGATAGTAGTATTTGAATCATCAGCCGATTCATGTTCAATGGCACTAGAGGCTTGAGTCACCACAGCAGATTTCTCCTCTTTTCCTTCGTCACCATAGATGAAAGTATCTTCAGAGTGAGTTTGCTGCCAGCTAACCAGCTCCAGGCCGCGCGATAGAACTTATGGACTGTGAGAAGCGATTTGAAAAGATGCTGGCGTACTGGGAGAAGCTGAATGTGTCTCATCCTGAGAACTCAGAACAACAGGTAGAGATGGAGTCTGCGAACTGTGAGGATAGACGAACGCAGAAAGACTCGCTGGAGACGAATTATGAGACTTAAGCTGAGATTGCCATTGACAAACAGACTTAAGCTGCGAACCAGGAGAATATGATGGTGACAAAACCTGTGAACTCTGAGAAACAGCGTGCGTCAGAGTCTTCGATGATGAAGTTGTCGAAAAGTGAGAATCGACTGACGTAGTGGAAGAAGATGCTGCCGATTGATGTGAAATCTGCGAACCAGTAGAAGGGATTGGCGACTGCAAACTGGGAGAAACCGTTCGCGATGGCGAAGTTGAAATAGTGGCTCGCGACGGATTCACGCTGAGACTAGCTATTGGCAACGATGGTGAAGTTCGCGATTGCGAAGAAGAAAATCTCGATTGTGAAGAAGAAAATCTCTGAATCTGTTCATTCAATATCGCCATATAAGTCACGAAGTGGCTCTGAATCTGTTCGTTCATCGTTGCGAGAGAAGCTGCGATGTTTGCCATTTCCGTCCTCTCTCGTTCCGACGTATGAACACGGTTTTTCATTTTTTTTTCTCATTCTGACCATCCACCTCTTTAATGCAAACTAGGTTGCAATCGAGATTCAATTTCCGATCCCCAGGAGCAACGGCTCTGATACCATTGATAGGAATCAGTAGGAATTGTCGAAGAACAGATCGAAAGCTCTATTCAATATGATGAACCGAACAGAAGGGATACAGTAGCCACGGACAATTCGAGATGCCCAGTCTCCAAAGTCTAAGTCCAACCAAATGACAGCCTACTTCTGCTAGCTTATTAACTTCTATTTATAGTAAAAGCCCACTTATTATTATCTACAATAATAGACCCATTCCTATCATAATAGGCCCATTCCTATCAAAGTTCTACCCTGATGACTTCATAATCCACAACATTGTTACTTTGGAGTATGAGTGAATTCTTTACAGGCATAACGTGATTGAGAATTCTAAACTTTCTACACTTTATTAGTGTACCATATATTAGATATGAAGGGGGGAGATCAAATGTTTGTGTGATGATAAGAACATTGATCCATCGTATTTTAACTTTACTTATTTCCAACAGATCGAGCATCTATGAAGCATGTGAAAGTCAACACTTCGTAACAAGATTGGAGATGATTTTCTTGAAGGTTGTCTGATGTTATATATCAGGCACAACTTCAAAGTTTAAAAATTTGTAGATGTAACTTTTGAAATTTCAAAGCGGCTTATAAGTTTAATATAGATGAGTTTCAATGAATAAAATGTTAACTTAAAACTAGCCATTGCCCTCATGCAACTGGGGGAACGGCCAAGTGTGCCATTTAACATGGTCTTCACATCCGACTGCTTTACAGTTTACACAGTTTTACTTTCTTTGTGTACATATTGAAAAGCATGCAGGTGCATCTTTATAAAGCATGTGGCTAATTGTGGCACCACATGTCCATACCAATTCAACATTATAGAGTTTCCCAATATAGGACATGTATGTATATACACACACACACATAGTCACATACGTACATCTTAATTGTTAAAGAGATATACCTGATTTTGTGAATAGATACACTGTGCTTTCCAGCACTATAATGCTGATCAGAGTCCAATTCCCATAATGCTGGTTTACCCTCATGTGGCTGGAAATGCCCAAGAACCTGTGGCAGATTAATATGATTTTGTGAAAATGATTCATAACAGATAACACATTACTTTCGGAATCTTGTCAATACACATACACATTAATGGCAGCTTGTTTCTCAGCGTCCATATAAGCATTACTATAGTACCGCTGAAGTGTCCTAAAAACTCTTGTGACTGTGTTGCCGCTTTCCACTGACCTCTTCTTTCAGAAAATATCAGTTTAGATTCAAACTAATCAGTACTCCAGATTACAAGTTCTGCATTCTGAGGGATTGCAAGAAAGACAGCCACTTTAGCAACCACACATGATATGTTCTAAGTCTCAAAATATAAGGCCATTTTTCTCTTTGTAAAGGTTTTTATTAAAAGAAGTAAACCTTAGCTGACTTTACCAAATTGCCCCCCAAGAGATACCAATTGTTTCGAATCATTTTTAGAAAGAAATAGAAAGAAAGAGTGAATTAGGAAAAGGAGAGAGTGGGGTC